CTTCTCATGCAATATAGCTAAAAAAGTGTGAGAGCATTTCAGTGATTACTATCTTCCTTTCAAATGGCTGACATCTCTCTATGACCTTCTTCACTCTGTAGGGTCTCTACAAAAAATTGATGGGATCTTATGGCGCTCTATTATCTCTAGTTTGCTGGAATTTATGGTCTACAAGGAATAATTTTTTTTGAACTGGTCAACTTCTCTGTTTAGTCCATTATTAACTCAACTATCATTAGATTATATGAATGGACAGGTTGTGGAAGAGGAAGTTCTACACTCAAGTTAGCAGCTGCATTAGAAGTCAAACCAATCTCGAGGAGCAATGGATGACAGCATCTGTTAGTCTTTTATGTTGTGTGTGCAAAGAACATTATTTGTGGTCCTTCATTTTGTTTTATTGGATTACAGAAAATATATTTTCTTTTTACTATATGTATGGCTGGCTTTGGTTCTTCCCTGTATCCATGTCTACGGTGAATGACGACAATGCTCACTCTTCACCTATATGGATGTCTAGAAGAAGAATGTTATTACATCACTAGTTAAGAGAAATTATATTTTCTATCTTCCAATTTTTATGAATACAGTTCGTATCCTACTCTTGTAATTGTACTTTTGATATATATTAATGAACATGGTATATTCCTTGTTTTATTCTTAAAAAAAAAAGAAGGTGCGTTGCTAAATATGCCTTGAAAAGTCTGTATCAGAATATGCATCACGTGCTCGTTATCTTCTATATTATACACAGAGAGAGTTTTTTTTTTAACGGAAATGATTTTTGTCACGCGAGATGGGGTCACGCACGCATCTCGCGTGAGAGAGGAGGGGGTGGTGGGACCCACAGGTTGTGGGTCCCACCACCCCCTCCTCTCTCACGCGAGATGGGTGCGTGATCCCATCTCGCGTGACAAACAGAAGGACTCTTTTTTAAATTTGAAAAGTGACACTCTCGAGACAAAAGCTATTTTATTTGCGCCCCAAAAGTCCACTAAGGCGGGCCGCTTTGACCGGCAAAAAATACAAAAGAGAAGAAAATGCCAAGTGCGGATACTGCGCCAATCACATGCGAGCTCACGTGAGGATGATGTGGACATTACACTTAACAATTATCTAAGAAATAATAAAAGAGATCAGTAGTTGGTCTGATGAGATCACGATCAATGGAAAACTTTATCTAATACCGATTAGTCCGGTGATTACTTTGTTTTGTATTAAGGTTGCTCGTAAGGGATCGAGAAAAGGACTTACACTGTTTAATATTTATGGAGTCAGACTTTATTTAGAAAATTTGTGAATCTATCTATCAATATAGACAATAGTCGTTGATACTTATACTTTTTTTTTAAAGATAAGAGTTCTAGAAAACCTTTTATTAGTCTTATTAGTCAGTTTTACACCTAATTCTTTTTAGTATTAATATTTTTATCCTAATTATAATTGGTTAAAACCTATTAAGTTAAAATTAAATTTCCAAATTAAAGCTCTCTTTATTCAAAATTAATTAATAAAAAAATTTATCTGATTGGTATTGATTGACAATTAAAGAGTAGAAAGAAGTTTAGAGGGCATTAGCATTGTAAACATAATATACATTGCACGTGTAAATATTAACCAATTGATTGATATCAAATTATGTAATTAATTAATTTATTAACCACACTTGATTGAATAATTTTTTTTTCTATTAGTCCATTAAATCTTTCATATATTGAAATTAGTCCTTCAAGGCAATACTATTATTAGATAACACATTTCTTAAGTTATTTTGAAATTAATCCTTCAAATCAATTGTATAGTTAGCAATACAAACGACTAATTTCTCTTGAATTGCTTTTTTACTCTTGACCAGAAGAGCTAATATCAAAGTAACATAAGAATTTAGTATGTAATAACTATTCCAATTATTTATTGACTTAATTTCAAAAAAAATAATAATTGAGCAAGCTAATAGTTGAATGTGGTTATCTTTGCTAGCTTGTGAGGACATTTTTTAAATGTTGATAGATTTTTTTATTCTAAAGTCATTACAGATTAACACAAAAGATTGTTTTTCCTTTTCTTCTTTTTACTTCTTAAGAATTTTATGTCATCTGTTATTATTAGATTTTGAGGTATCAAAAAAAACTGATTGTTATATGAATGACCAATCTTTTCAATTGATTTGTTGTTTACACTGCTTATGGTCACATCGATGTATAAAATGAAAGTTGAATGTACACAAACATGAGTATTAAGGAAGTTCAAAGACAATATTACATCATCAAGTAGAGATTTTAAAGAAACAATTTCAAGACTGAGTTATATAAAAAATAAGCCAAACAATCATGATATTTAACCGCATGAATGCACATGCATCTCACCTGATTTGAGTTAAAGTTAAGGGTTGGATGCTAAATGGATTGACAACAGCCATGAACAAAACAATTGCTAGTAGTATTATGAAATAAGGATTTGGATTTTCTATAGTATTTGCTTTCATAGTAGAAAAATCACTTTTTCAATTATAATTATTTAACAAATACATATGATTGTGATTTATTTCTAGTATTTACCTATATTATTTTCATGTGAGCACCAGTTTTATTATTTTTAAGGGTAAATTATGCTAAACCCATGAACTTTTAGTTATTTGCAGTAAATCCCTACGAACTTTCAAAATCACATTAAACCCCAATAACTTTTTAGAATTGCATAAAGTTTCCATGAACTTTTCAGGTTCTATAGAAAAGCCCCATAGTTTATGACCAAAAAAAAACATAATAGTGATTTTTCCTGCTAACATACACAACTGCTGTGAATTCAATGGCGAAGAAGAAGAAGTTTAGCGGGAAAAAGATTCTCAAATCAGGATTAGGAGCTTCAATCTCATCTCCGATCGATCCTGTGGACTGTTTGGATGTAAATTCTGTTGATAGTGAGGATGAAGAAAGTTTTCCCATGGGATTGATGTGTCCAAAGAGAGCGAGGAAGTCCAAATCGATGGCGGAGATTCAAGATCGTCAGCTATCTCCAATGGAGGGCCCCTGTAAGTCTTCTATTTCTTGTAATGGCGGAAAGAACTCTGCTAGGGTTTCTTGGGCAAAGGAGTCCGAATCTGAGTTACTATCTAGTTCCTTACCTATTTCTGGACCTGTGCTTTTGAATTCAAATATTAAAATTGTTGATTCTACTGGTTCTTTGAATTCTAACACTAAAAATGATGGTTCTCTGACTTTGAATAAGGAGAATAAAGATAGTTTGGATGAATCTTGTGATCCTCTTTTAGAGAAATCCAAAATCCCTGTTAAGAGCTGGAGTAGCCTGTTTTCAGATAACAGGAGGCCTGGGAATGACATGGTGCTGGATTTTTTGCCTTCTGTCTCAACTGATTCAGTGGTTTTTGATGAAGAGGAATGGAATGAGGGAGCTTCAATGTGGTCTTCCTCTGTTGTGGGGCAGGTTCTTGGTTTGAATGCTAGTTTCAAAGATATGGAAAGTTATGTGCACAAGGTATGGCCTCAATCTCCTGAAATCTGTCTATTAAAGGCATGTTTGTTCTTGTTCAAATTCAAAGGGAAAGATGAAATGAATGAGGTTCTTTGTAAGGGACCCTGGTTTTTTTGATCTAGACCAATGCTCTTAAAACCTTGGTCTATAGATGAAGAAAATATTAAATCTGACGAGTGTGTTTACCCCTTGTGGATTCAACTTCCTGCTTTGAGATTAAATTTGTGGAATTCCAAAGGCATCAGTAAAATTGCCAGCTTAATTAGGAGACCTATTGCTACTGATATGTTAACAGCAAATAAACAAAGGTTGTCATATGCTAGAGTCTTGGTAGAGATTAAATTGCCACCCCCCCTACCTGACCATGTCACCATACAAGGACCTAATGATAAATTATATAATCAGAGGGTGGTCTATGAATTTAAGCCAATATGGTGTGATTTTTGCAAATTTGTGGGTCATGATACCAGTTTTTGCAATAAGAGACCTAAAATGCAGAAATGGATTCCTAAGAAACAAGCTACTGGAAACAATAGTCAATCTGGTTCCATACTTAATGCAAATAAAGATGTAGATGAAGGGGGAAATAAGGGAAAATCTATAGTACAAGAGCATATGAACACTAGGAATTACCAGTCTCCTGTGCATGTGGTGCATGTTTTAGGGGAATCTTCAAATACAGAAGTTTTGTCTACTCACACTGGAAAACCAGAACTGTCTGTTAATATTGGTAAATCTCCACAGTCTGTACATGAATTACATCATGGGTGGAATTTTTCAAGTAATGAAGCACATTTTGAAGAAATGTCAAATTTGAATGGGAGTACTGGTAAACATGTTCAAGAGAAGGAAACTGAGCAAATAGTTGTGCATGTTGTGCACAGGCAACTACCTATATCTAATGGTCCTTATGCATATAATCCATGGAGACATGTTCAAGGTAATAAATCCAAGTTGTCTGGAAACTCTCTTGGTGTTTTTTCCCAGTTTGGAGATAATTCTATAAATCCCAGATTGTCTGACAGTAAGAATGCTGGCAATTCTTTCCTATATTTGGAGAATTTGGATTCTGACCCCTCTACAACTGATGGAGGAGGATTGTTCTTTAAATGAACTTATCCTTTTGGAATGTGAGAGGTTTAAATAAACCCTCTAAACAATTGTTGGTTAAACAACACTTGCATCTCTATCATTTGTCTTTTATCTCTCTTCTGGAAACAAAGATCAAGTAAAATAATATCAAGGTGGATACAAAAAGAATTGCTAAAGATTGGGAATGACTTTCAAATGTGAGCAACTCTGAGAAGGCTAGGATTCTAATATTATGGGATTCTAAACTCCTAAACACTCAACAACTGGACCTCTCTAGTCAGCAGATAACTTGTTGGGTTACCTCTATTGATGGAAGATTCTCAAGTGTCATATCATCTGTGTATGGATACAACAATATTCAAGCTAGAAAGGATTTATGGACAGAATTATCCCTTATACATAGATCAATTGGAAGCATGCCTTGGATTATTTTTGGTGACTTTAATACAGTCTTATGTAATGAAGAGAAACTTGGAGGATCACCAGTAACTGACTCTGACACATTGGATTTTAGATCTTTCATTGATGACTGTCAACTTTGTCATATGAAAACTTTAGGGTGTTTTTTCACATGGAACAATAAGCAAGACCCGGATACAAGAGTTTGGAGCCGTTTAGACAGAACTCTTATAAATGATAACTGGATTCAACAGCTAAATTCTAGTCATGTGGAGTTTATGGTTCCCAGGCTATCTGATCATTCTCCTGGCATAATCTCAGTTTATGAAGACTGCTCTTATGGTAAAAAGCCATTCAGATTTTTTAATATGTGGACGAAGCATGCTGATTTTCTACCCACTGTGTCTCATATTTGGCTTTCTCAAATCAATGGATTCCACATGTATTCTGTCTGCACAAAGCTAAAAAGGTTGAAAGGAGCTTTGAAGTCCTTGAATAGAAGACACTTTTGTAATATAAGTGAGCAAGTCATAAGAGCAAAAATTGAGATGGAGAAAATTCAAAAGAAACTTCAAGATGATCCCCTCAATCCTACATTTATCTGTCAAGAAAGGAAATCTATTGCTCTATATAACAAACTCTTGGATCATGAAATTTCTTTCTATCAGCAGAAAGCAATAACTGCCTGGAGTATTCAAGGTGACAGAAATACTGCACTTTTCCATTCTGCTATTAAAGCAAACATGCACAACAATAGAGTCTCAATTCTCTATAACAGCCATGGAGATAGGCTTACTGATGGTGAAGAGATAGTAAAAGAGTTTGTCTCTTATTACAAAAGTCTAATGGGGACTACAATTCATACTGTTAAACCTGATAAACATATCATACAAAATGGAGCATGTCTGAATTCTAGTCAAGCAAGGGAACTATCTAAACCAGTCAAAAGTGAAGAAATTAGAGCTGTCATCTTCTCAATGCCTGATAATAAGGCCCCAAGCCCGATGGGTTTAATGCTTATTTTTACAAATCTGCATGGTCCATCATTGGGGAGGATATTACTTTAGCAATTGGAGAATTCTTCAAATCAGGAAAGCTATTAGGAGCTTTGAATTCCACCTCGATCACTCTCATTCCAAAGGTACATTGTCCTAAAACTCCAGCTGATTTCAGACCCATATCATGTTGTAACTGCCTCTATAAAATCATTTCAAAAATTCTAGCAACTAGAATACAGGCTGTTATGGGGAGTATAGTTAACGAAGCTCAAAGTGCCTTTGTAAAGGGCAGGCAAATATCAAATAATATCCTTCTTGCACATGAGCTTATCAAAAACTATGGTAGGAAACACCTGTTACCAAGGGTTATGATCAATATAGACATCAGGAAGGCTTTTGATTATATAAGTTGGAACTTCATACAAGACATTCTGACGGATATGGGTTTCCCACTGGTTTTTGTTAAATGGATCATATGCTGTATCTCTACACCAAATTATTCTATCTCTCTGAATGGTAGCTTACATGGATTTTTCAAGGGTGAAAGAGGACTAAGGCAAGGGGATCCTCTTTCCTCCTACATATTCATTCTAGGCATGGAATACCTGACAAGAATGTTGAACCTGTTGAAAGATGATAAAAATTTCAAATTTCACCCCAAATGCAAAAATCTAAATATAACACATCTAGTGTTCGCTGATGATCTCCTTCTTTTCTGCAAAGGGGATCCTTATTCAGTGAATAGACTTTATCAATGTGTTGAATATTTTGGAGCATGCTCTGGTTTAGAGGCAAACCCTGCAAAATGCTCTATCTTTTACAGTGGAGTTTCTGATGAAACCAAACATGAGATTAGTAATTCCCTGGGGTTCCCTGAAGGTTCTCTTCCAATCAGATATTTAGGCCTTCCTCTTATAAGTAAAAGGATGTCTTACATAGATTGCAACCCTCTGCTTCTGAAGATATCAAACCAGTTCCAGAGTTGTATGAATAACAAATCACTGTCTTATGCTAGAAGAATACAGATTATTAAGAGTGTTATATTGGGTATTCAAAATTTCTGGACATCTAGCTACATCCTTCCAGTAAAAGTTCTACAAAAAATTGATGAGCTATGTAGGTGTTTTCTATGGGGCAAATTAGAACATACTTCTAAACCTTCTCTGGTATCATGGAGTAATGTCTGTGTTCAAAAGAAAAATGAAGGGTTGGGAATCTTCTCGGCAAGACTTTGGAACACTGCTGCTGCCCTCAAAATCCTGTGGAGTATCCACATGAACAAGGAGCATTTGTGGATTAAATGGTCCCATGAGAACTATCTGAAAAATAGTAGCATTTGGATGGTAAACGCTAGAAAGGGAGACTCTTGGATGTGGAAACAACTATTGAGCATCAGAGATAAATGTATTGATTTGTGCGGAGGGATTGAAAACCTCAAACAGCTTCTCAATTCTTGCTGTAACAACTCAAAAATCCAGCTCTCTGACATATACTCCAGGTTGTCACCTATTACAACTCAAGTGGCATGGCACGATACAGTTTGGGAAAATTTAAGCTATCCAAAACACTCGTTCTTACTGTGGCTGGCAGTCCAGGACAAGCTTCAAACTCAAGACAGACTCCTCAGAAATGGAATTATCCAGACATCAGTCTGTAAGCTATGTGACTGTCCTATCTCAGAGAGCAGAAATCACCTCTTTTTCGAGTGCACTTTGTCAAATATAGTTTGGAATGGTATTATGGAATGGCTCAACTTCAAATGGAGATCTTGTAACTGGTCTACCCTCCTGAATTGGTTCTTTTTCAGGTTGAGGGGTAAGGGTATGAAACAAAAGATTAAGAGGATGGCGTTGGCTGCAACAGTTTATACTATCTGGAAAGAAAGAAACTGCAGAAATTTCAAATTGAAGAGTAAAGCTCCTGATACTTTAATTAAGAACATCAAGATAGATATCCTCACTGCCACTCTGAATTCTCAGTCATCTGAATGCAGGGAATGGGGTCTCTCTATATAGATTTGTTGAAGAAGGTACTATCGAGGAGAAGAAGGTGCACAAACAGGAGGTGCACAAAACAGAATTAATCTGTCAATCTTGCAAGGATTACTCTGCATGCTTATCTTATCTAAGTTTGGTTTAGAGAGGAGTATTCCCCCTGAGCTTTGTGCTTGTATGTACTCTAGTCTCATATCCGATATCTCACTGTTGAGTAGAGATTCTTGATGTACATAATTCCTATTTTTGGTGATGAATAAAATTTTTTCATTTACCAAAAAAAAAACAACAACAACATAATAGTGGATTTTTAAAGTTCCTGGGGTTTAGTGTAATTTACCTAAAAGTTCATGGGGGGTTTTCTACAAAAGTTATTTGGGGTTTAGCTTGTTTTTGAAAGGTCATGGGGGTTTGCTACAAAATAGTGAAAGCTCATGGGGGTTTAGTGTAATTTACCCTATTTTTCATGTAGATAAATTATAGCCGTTCATCAAATGATATACGATACGGTTGAAATTTGGTTTTTGAGCTACATGTGGGGTAGGCATTAGTACCTTCAATACTCATGACATATGGACCTTTGAAAATCCGTGAGTGATCCAAAACTACTTTTGGTCAATGTCTTCATCCGACATTAATGCTGAAGCATGTGAGACCACGAGGAGAACAAAATCTAATTGAACTCCACCATGTCCTAGCTAGAGGACTAGCCCAAATTTAATTGATCTGATGATGTATTATACAGAAGATTCTGGTCTAAGATGCACGAGTGCATTCCATTCTTAATTTTCACCGATTGGATGCTGTTTGATGACAATATTTTGGCAGGATGAATAATGTGGTGGAGGATAAAATTATTTCATTGATTTTTCTTTCTTCTCTACTTGACTTCTTTTTAACTTACAAACCACACATATATATATACTACTACAATGACTTTTAGACTTTCTGATAAACGCTATTGAATTTCCCAATAACATTTATGCATCTAACATATTCATGCAATTAACTCCTTAAACAAGTAAATGATGTTTGGGGTGAAAGTTGTTCTCATTGACGAATTCATTACAACTTCGGGCGTTTCAATAAATTCAAAAGAAATAGTCTTTTTATAAAACTTTTACACAATGAAAATTTATTACAACTTTCTTTCAAACTACACACAATAGATGTTTATCGCCTATTATTTGCGTGAGATCATTACCGGTGTCGGGGTTTATCCGTGGACTATCGCGGATCAGATCAGGTTGACAGATTGATTATCAGAGCTTCACTTCACAAAGGAAGTAATCGCTGAAGTAAATGATCTCGACCAAGCGAGATCACTACTCTTCTCGAAATCAAGTCCAAGCCTGATCTCAAGGAATACTGGAACGTGGTCTCAGATCCTTCGAATAGCTTTCTCTTTATGTTGAAGTTCGCCAGAAATCTGCTAGCCCCTCTAGAATTTCGTGCTTCCTCCTCTGCAATTCGGCAACATCTCATCCTCTTTGATTAAATTCGCCCCCTGAAAGAAGGCCCTAGTCGTGTATTTATAGGGCTTCGGATGCAGGGTATTTGGATAAAAATGAATGATTTGGTCATATCTTCAGTTGACAACGGCCTAACCATGTTTATGGATGATATCAAATCAGTTGAGAAGCTTTGGAACGAAGAAATCCCGCAAACTTATCCAAAAACACGTCGTCAGGTACCGTCGTGCGCGGCAGGCCACTGTGACCCGTGCCTGTGCGGGTCACTAAGTGGAGACCCGCTCGTGCGGGTCACCAAGTGGCGACCCGCACTCGTACGGGTTACCACAAGGTGACCCGCACATTTGCGGGTCAGTTTGGGACTTAGCCATTTTTGGCTTTCGGACTTGTATTTTTCGTCGTTTTGCGTATCTTGTCATTTGGTTGACCTGTACGCTTCGCTGACTTGCTAAGTGCGCTCGTTAGCTTCTTTACGGCTTTGAATGATCCCGTTTGACTCAAATGATGACATTCATTGTCTTCTTTTTTGTCTCGAGCTGTGTGCGAACACCTATAGGTATTTTTCAACGCCTACATATACCCTCTCCAAAATATTTCAGACTCATTCTTTTATAGAGGAGTCTATAATGCTTTGGATAAGATAGGCCCTGTCTTCTGTTAGACCGTAACGCTACTAGGAAAGAACCCTAGAAGGTGGGGTGAATAAGGTTTATGCTAATCTAATCCGATTTAATGCCAATTAAAAAATTATTAACAATTTATCCTAGAAAATAAGATATGTAACAATTATATGCAAGGATAAACAATATAAACAAAGGGTAAAATAAACAAACACAAATAATATATAGTGGGTAAATTAGACAATGAGAGAATGACGATAGAGATAAACAAAATATAAGTGCACAAGCCAAACTCAAACACACAAGAAATGAGCATGGAGTTCGGACCTTCCGTCCTACGTCTTCGCTCCACACTTCCGGGGAGAATCCACTACACAACCGGGTTTTCAACACTCACCCGTTATGTTTTCAACACTCACCCGAATAACGTTTACACCTCACACTCAGTTTTCTAGATCACCGAAAACTTTACAATCAACACTCTTACAATCCCACTCTACACCCTCTAAGTGTTGGTCTCTAGCCCGTGTCTCCCTCAAGTGCTCGGATTTACAACCTCTCCCGAGGATTTACTACCGATGCCACTCCTCTTGGGACGACCCCGTCTCTCACCATACACTCCTCTCGGTGTACAAGTATATTACAAAGTGTAACTCATAAATTAAGCACAAACACAAATAAAATTGTTCTCTACAATAGATGAGAACACAATGAAAGCTCCCACTCTAAGTCACAAACCCACAACTCCAAATTATACTATGTATGAAATACTAAAAGCTCAATAGGTTGTGTGTGAACAAAGAGTATAATCAAAACAAACATTATACTATGTATGAAATACTAAAAGCTCAATAGGTTGTGTGTGAACAAAGAGTATAATCAAAACAAACTAAACTTAATATAAATCTAGCTTATGGCTCAATAGGTTGTGTGTGAACAAAGAGTATAATCAAAACAAACTAAACTTAATATAAATCTAGCTTATGGAAATTATAATCAAAACAATAAATAGCTAGAATGAGTTTAGAAAAACTTCTCTGTGATGACAAGAGAGAGGGAGATGAGTTGAATGCTCAAACTCAAATGATGATCTCCTCAAGTCCTTGTGAAACTTTCTTCACAAACAAACTTTGTAAAAACAAACAAAAACCCTTAAACAAACTTGTAAAACTCTTTTAAAACTTTTCTCTTAGATAAAATGAACTGATGATATTGTTAGACCCTAGAGGGGGGGTGATTAGGGTCTTATGCTAATCTAATCCGATTAAAGTGCCAATTAAAAACTAATTAACAAGTTATCCTAGCAAGTATGAAATGCAACAATATATATGAACTAGGATAAGCAATATATAATATGATATATCCTAGCAAAGAGGCATATAGTGAAATATATGCAAGGATATATAAACTAACACAAGGGGTAAACAATCTAAACAAGATAGTGGATGATATAGATAATGAGCTAATGACAATGGCGATATAAGATATGAACATAAATATGAATGAACGCCAAAGCACATTCAAACAAGTAATATGATCACGGAGTTCGGACCTTCCGTCCTACGTCTCCGCTCCCCACTCCCGGGGAGAAATCCACTATCACAACCGGGTTTTCTATGTTCACCCGAATAACATTTACACCTCACACTATCGGTTTTCAACGCTCACCGATCAACGTCACTCCTCACAATCGGTTTTCTAGTTCACCGAAAACTTCACAACACACTCGGTTTCTAGCTCACCAAAAACCTAACAATCTCACAATATAACAAATATAAATTGTTCTCTAATATGGATGAGAACACAATAAAAGCCCACACTCAATGTTACAACTCTCACAACCCTAATATATTATGAATGCAAATACAATAAGCTCAAGTGGGTGTGTGTAAACAATGAGTGAAATCAAAATCAAAACTAAACTCAATTAAAATCTAGCATATAGAAATTATAAACAAAATAATAAATAGCTAGAAATGAGTTTAGAGATTCTTCTCTGAATAACAAGATGGAGAGATGGAGATTGAAGCCCAAACAAGAAGATGATCTCCTCCACTTGTGAAAACTTCTTCACAAACAAAACAAACCCTTAAACACACTTTAAACCCTTGTTTAAAATTTGTTTTAAAAACTTCTTAGATTTTCTTAAGAGTTGAAGGCAATCGGTCGACCGGAAATTCAGTCGGTCGACCGATGGAGCGAAAAAGCACGAAAACCAGCTCTGGACAATCGTCGGTCGACCGGTGCGGTCGACCGATGGAGCTTTCGGTCGACCGGACCGGTCGACCGACCAACTCTCTGTCACCCAGTGATGAAGGATCAAATGATCGGTCGACCGGTGCGGTCAACCGAAAACTGACATATGAAAAATGAAGTCTGAAAGCTGTTTTGCTGATTTTAAAACACTGTTTAAAAATATCAAATAAATTCCAAAAAATGTAAAACTTTGGGGAATGATTGTAGACATGATAATAAACATGCTACAGTGACTGGTTTCGAAAAAGGACTTCCCAAATGAAAAATATCATCATTTTGCAAGATAGTCCAAAACACGAAAATGTAAACATGTGAATTTTGACATTTAGGCTAAACCATGTTTTGAAACTCTGCACAATGATTTTGTAGATATGTAATATCATAAAAACCAAAACACATGTATGTATATATATAACTATATATATGCATAGAAACCAAAACTTATATATATATATATATAACTATATATATATATATATATATACGAAGAAACCAATAAATGTGTGTGTATAGATATTGAGCTTAACGTACTTAACACACATAATATAAATCCTAAACTTAGTTACCCAAGCTAGATCTTGATCTTCATTATAGCTCAACTTGGTACACATGCAGATGAAGCTTGAACTTGATCTTTAACTTGAATGGAACGTTGCTTCACTCCACAATTCCT